TCTATAATATCCTATAAACCTTGGGCCTTAAGCAGGAGAAATCAACATAGGATTTGCCTTCTAAATATATAATGATGATAGAATCTATGCATATATATTATTTATGATAAGAAAAAAGAACCAGGGGCTTCCCTGGTGGTGCAGTGGCTAAGAATCCGCATGCCAACGCAGGGGACACAGGTTTGAGCCCTGGTCCCTGGTCCAGGAAGAACCCACATGCCACGGAGCAACTAAGCCTGTGCACCACAACTACTGAGTCTGCGCTCTAGAGCCTGCGAGCCACAGCTACTGAGCCCACGAGCCACAACTACTGAAGCCCGTGCGCCTTGACCCTGTGCTCCACAACAAGAGAAGCCACCACAGTGAGAAGCCCGGCACCGCAACTAAGAGAAGCCCCCGCTCTCCACAACTTGAGAAAGCCCGCGCGTAGCAACGAAGACCCAACGCGGGCAAAAATAAATAAATAAATATTTTTAAAAAAGAAAGAAGAACCAATATAGCCAGAGCCACAGTAAAATAAGCTGGTGTCGCTTTGTAAAGGGTTGTGAAGATGGTTACAAAGGTGAAGAGAGAAACGGGACATAAGCTTTTAAAAGTAGATGCAGGGCTTCCCTGGTGGCGCAGTGGTTGGGAGTCCGCCTGCCGATGCAGGGGGCGCGGGTTCGTGCCCCGGTCCGGGAAGATCCCGCATGCCGCGGAGCGGCTGGGCCCGTGAGCCATGGCCACTGTGCCTGCGCGTCCGGAGCCTGTGCTCCGCGGGCGGAGAGGCCATGGCAGTGAAAGGCCCGCGTACCACAATAAAAAAAAAAAAGTAGATGCAGACTGGGACAGACTGAAAGGGGCCTTCATTCAGGTTACGCAGTTTGGACTTTATCTCTGGACATGAGAATATTTTCGAGGAAATTTTAGCAGCAGAATACCAGGATCAAAAGATGCTTCAGAAAGATAAAACTATTAGAAACATGTAAGATGTTTTGCAGGTCTGAGAGCTAAATGATGGGCAGAGGGGTGATGACCTGAGTGCCACAGACCACGCTTGTAACAACTGGTCAAACTACAAGTGGAAAGCAGAGATGGATGCAAGAAACATTAACAAGGGCTTCCCTGGTGGCACAGTGGTTAAGAGTTTTCCTGCCAGTGCAAGGGACACGGGTTCGAGCCCTGGTCCGGGAAGATCCCACATGCTGCGGAGCAACTAAGCCCGTGCGCCACAACTACTGAGCCTGCACTCTAGAGCCCGCGAGCCACAACTACTGAAGCCTGCAATGAGAAGCCCGCGCACCGCAAGGAAGAGTAGCCCCCACTCGCTGCAACTACAGAAAGCCGCACCCAGCAACAAAGCCCCAATGCAGCCAAAAATAAATAATAAATAAATTAATAATAATAATAAAAAGAAACATTAACAAGGAAGAATTTCTAGGATCTTCTGCCTGGTGACTAATCACTGACTAATATTAGGGGTGTCCAGTAGGAGAGACAAAGAAAAATAGAAAATGAGAGGGAAGAATATGAAATTATTTGCAGGGCGACAGAGAAAATGATGGTACCATTAATAGAAACAGAGGTATAACTGACATCACTTGGTGAAAAAGAGTTCATTTTTTGTCAAATTCTTTCTACTCAAGAAGAAATGATCCACAGGCTGTTGAATATAAAGTTAGAGCTCTGCTTTTAGATTGAAGATGAAGCCAGGGCAGCAGTACGGTTTTAAAAGCTCTCCAAGTGTTGCAAATAGGAAGTTAGGATTGAGAACCATTGTACGTTCTGTGGGACCTTCTGCAACCAGGGCACACTCACCCACATCTTGTCTTTGGGGTCATAGGACATGAAGTAACTGTAAATAAGGCTCCAACAGTGTTTAACAGGAGGAAAAGCAAGCCTTGTAATTCGGTGTTGCTCACTATAGCATTATTTTAAAATAAATATATATGTAAAATGAGAACTGTATAACATATCTTAAAAGTAAGCAAATTATTCATTTTCTTCTTAAAATTTTAAAATTTGAATACAAAAATTAAATGGAATTTGAATTTCATTTCCTCTGCGTTTTGTTCCCATCTTTTCCCTTACCCCACACCATCCCACTCAAACAACTAAAGGCCTCAAACTCTTCTGGCTTCAGTTTCCTGTTCTGTAAGAGTGAATTTATCTGCTTGCCTATTTCCCCTGGTGGTCTGTGGTGTAGAGTAAAATGAGATATCACAAGTAAAAGTGCTTTGTAAATTATAAAATAGGTCAAGCAATGTAAGATATCACTATTATAACTAAGCCTAGGGTGTAATTTTTAATTTCTCCAATTATTCTCCACAAGAAAAACATGCCTTTACTTCTTGGCCTGTATACAGTATTTAAATTTTACGTAAGTTTGGCAATATAGTCACCATAAATTAATTCATACAGGAAAAATAATAGGGAGTGCTAATGTTTTATTTTTCACAATTTTTTTCCTTTTTTAAGTATAGCTAATTTACAGTGTTGTGTTAGTTTCTGGTGTACAGCAAAGTGATTCAGTTATACATACATATTCATATAATATATATGTTCTTTTTCATATTCTTTTCCATTATAGTTTATTACAGGATATTGAATATAGTTTCCTGTGCTATACAGTAAATACTTGTTGTTTATTTATTTTATATATAGTACTTTGTATCTTCTAATCTCCAAATCCTAATTTATCCCTCCCCTCCCACCTTTCCTCTTTGGTAACCATAAGTTTATTTTCTATATTTTTCAAATCATAATTTTTGTGACTTTTCACTTCAAACCTAAGACTCATTTCTGGAGGAATTTTATTGTGGAGTCTCCTTAATATTTTTGCTTAGTACTTTCTTTTTCCTTCTTTTTAATTAACATTGATTCATTAGTTTTCACAACAATATGGAGATAATTCAATAACAATTTTCTGTAACAAGAAAAATGAGACAGAAAACAGTTCTATAGCTTGCCAGAGGTATTCAGACACCTATAGAAACCGGAAGCAGCAGGAGACCTCATTACACTTGCTTCCTCATTAATACTGGCACTCTTCCTTCAGAAGAAAGGGAACTTTAATTAGCACTTTTCTATTATGTGAATTTTTTTTCCCTTTAGAAGTTTATAATCACACCAAATAACAACAATAAATGCAGCTAGTAATATTGTAAATGGCATCCCCATGCACCCTGGATTCCAATGCTTGTTAACTTTAAAAGTACCTTTTTACAAAATTAAGCATAAGTTTGCATTAATCTTTGTTAAACCTGAAAAGCTCAGAAGTAGAAACCTTTGTTTACATATATTTTGGGGTTTTTTAATCTCAAAGTTGATTTATATTTTTTATCTTAGGCTATACCTAGACCTCACTAGTCTATCAGTAACAAAGTCACTGAAGAAAGTTTCAAAATGTTATATGAAACCAAACCAAGTTCAATTTTACCTTACCATTAAAGGCCCACATGTGAGGTCATGTAAACAAACCTGTGAAGTCATAGTATATTCAACAACTACAATGACTAATCACAAACTAGCCATCCAGCCTCGCAACCAAAAATAGGAAGTATCTCATGCTAAAAGTTCAGTATTACTGCATTTTCCATAGTAAAAACACTTAATTAAAGTTTATCATTTTGGCATGTATCTTTATACTACAGAACTCAGAGGGTTGCCACCAAATTAAGAGCAACATTTGCAAACCACTCCATCAACTTGGAAGTATTTAAGTGCTAACTCTGGCTACTCTAAGTACCAACTCTTGACAAAAGACAATATACATTTTCAAAATTATTAGAATTTCTGTAGAAATTAAATCCAAAAAAGCACCTTTGGAAGCAACTAAAATCCTCTGCACTATAAAAGCATACATCCTGCCGAATGTTGTAACAGTCATGGAAAAATATTTAGATCATCCTCAAATTAGGCATGTATGAATAGGAAAAATAGTACTAAAAAGTAATGACCATTAAAATTATCCTCCCTCTCCCCCCAAAAAAACAATACTTTAAAGTATAGGAAAAAATTTAAAACAAAAATACGTTGTTACAATTTCTAAGAGCTTAGAAAGAACTCTAAGAACAGTTCTCCCTCTTGGAAACAAGATTTAAACATCAGAAGACATCCAGGGAACACATTAAATCAGTATTTCTAACGCTAAAAAAGGGGGTGGTGTGGTGAGAATGACGTCAGCGTTCGGTAAGGTCAGAGACAACTTTTAATCCAATAATGACAATAACTCTGTTCCAAATCCTGTGCAACGCGAAACGCTGGCAATTTGAAACATAACTGAATTCTTAAATACTACAGTATTCAAATGACCTTTAGTGAGTGAAAACTCAGCAAACATGCTTGTTCTTTCTGAACAATGACCTAAATAATGAATCACTATAAAAAGAACAGATGACACATCCAATTCATCTGTTCACCCTCAAATGTGCAAAGGTCTGACAGTCTCAGAGATAAGACACAACGACTTTACTACGACAGAATGGTCATTTTAGTCATCAGCATGTCTGGAAAAGGAGATGAGGAGAAACAGAATCAGACTGAGAGGCGTAAAGAATTGGGGAGGGCTTGTTTAGGGAGAGCGAAAAACACGGGTGTTTAAGTCTGTGAAGCCAAAACACAAAAAGACTCCAGGGAAGGCTAACTGGTACGGGAGAAAAAGAAGTTCGGAAATGAAATTGACCAAGTCCCGGACACCCGCAAAGGCGGCGCGGTGTCCAGCCAAACCAGCCTTTGTTGATTTCCCACTTTCCCCTAATTTCAAGCACAGGTCTGCTTCAAAGCGCTCCCTCTGAGGAGAAGAGAAGGGGGAACTGGGTGGTGGGAGGTGCGCGGGTTCACCTCCCCCAAGCATTTCATCCACCCAGAACTAAATCGCCCAGTGGGGGGAGGGAGGATTAGAGGGAACGGATAGAAAGGCGCCGGGATCTCTTGCAGAGATCTCTCCCTGTGGGAAATCGCAGGGTGGGTGCGCGCGATGGGGGAGGGGGCCGACTCCCCTTCCAAGTGCGGCCACTTACGAAGACGCGCTGGGCACGAAGAAATCAACCGCGAAGCCGAAGTAACTTCCCTCGGGGCCAGAGTACTCCGCAGGACTGTCCACATCTAGATTGAAGGCGCCGCAAAGAGG